CCCTCGGCAGGCAATGGCAAACCTCCGAGTGTATTTCTGCCATGAAAAACAGCTTCTCATAAAAATACAATCGCCGTTCGGAGTCGGCGTAAAACTGTAGGTCCCTCCGTTTTGTGTGACAACATCAAGGCGCACGCCACAAATCGGAGGAGAAGCTCGGCCAAACACTAACATATGTGTAAGCGCCAATCTATTATTATTATTATTATTATAGTCAAAAGATGTAAAGAACCGCACTAATATTGCTGGATGCATTTAGGTCGCTGCTTCCAAATATTCTAATCTTTTTTAATAAATATCAGCTATAATTTGCGAATTTTTGCAAATTTAGGAACAATTTCGGTAGCTCTAATAGAAAAGCCATTATTTTCCATCAGCGCGGAAAAAATTTGTTTATGCAAATGAGTATGGAAACACTGAACAGGCACAACTTCTATAAACACTAATAAGTTTACTTATTTTTATGCATCTTCTTTATATAAGTTAAACAAGTTGGTTTCACATTTATTTTATTAGATTTATTGATAGCGATCTTACTCGTTTAGTGTCTACAATTGAAGCTCTGGTCTTTTGTTAACTAAGCCAAAGCCCAAGCCCAAGCATTCATAAAGCTGTGCCTCCATGTGATGTTGTTAGTAGGCTTAAAACCATTTGCGTGGGTTTGTATGTGGGTATAGCAACAAATTCTGCTGGTACCGTAACATTTAATAGATCGTTGTAACGCGCGTTGGTCGCTTAACAAACGGTGGATGTTAAGCTGTTGCTATGTGCTCTTATTGGTGACGATGATCATAAGATCTTGTTGTGCCCAGCATTGAGAGTGCAGCAACAAACTCTGCTGGAACCGTAACACTTAGAGCGTTGTTATGCGCGTCGGTCACCTTACAATGGTGGATGTTAAGCTGTTGCTATGTGCTCTTGTTGGTGAAGATCACCATAAAAGGGCACAGCATCAGCTTTCTGAGTGCAGGAACAACTCTGCTGGCACCGCATCAATTAGAGCGTTTTTATCCGCGTTGGTCACCAAACAATAGGTAGATGTTACGGTGTTGCTTTGTACCCTTGCTGATGATCATGATGGCGATAGGGAGATGTTGCCAATGATAAAGATGATAAGAATTGCGGTAAGCAGCTGTATGGATGTGTTCTTGTAGCAAGTATTCCAGCATAGAAAACCCAGTGGAAACTTTGAATGGCGTTTGCGGTTATGTTCGCTGAACAAATCTAGTTATGTTAGCGGCTGTGTTAACTTATATAAAAATGAATTGCTGTTCGTGTGTTATCGCATCACTGAAGAACGGCTCAACGGATTTGCTTCGTTTTTATTTCATTTTGTGTCTTTCTGTCTGTAGAAGGTTTGTAAAGAGAAAATTTAAAAACCGGTGCTGCCAGATATCTTAAATATCAAAAACAAATTTAATTTAAATAAGCCGCAATGATGGTATTCCACTGCGAATGTATGAAAACACTTAAAAAAGTAAGAAATTTGCATAGGGTTGCCACCATTCGAATAAAATCTCATGTCACGGTGTTTGTGGTCAACTCTTCTGAAACGCCTTGACCGAATTGTATGACATATTTTGTGTATATTTGGAAATATATGAAATCAATCGCATACTCATGGAAAAAATGGATGTTATGGGAAACCCGAATTTTTCATGCCGCATATTTCTGGAAGCGTTCATGGTAGGGTACTGGAACTTGGTATGGAGATCAGGGTGTCCAGATTGTTTAAAAAAAGCACAATTTAAAAAAAAATCGCCAAAAATCGTCAATTTTTTTTTTAATAAAATTCATTAAATCAATTTAAGAAATCTTTTATTCTAAAAATGAGATCTTGTTATAATATTGTTTTTAAAACCAAAAACGAATATAATACCTTCAGAGGGTAATAAGAAATAGCAAAAATCACTTATATAATAGTGATGTACAAACAGTTTTCTTTAAAAATACGCACACTTTTTAAAAATATTTGTTTCAACACATTTTGCAATAGGACTGCGCAATTACTAAATTTATTTTAACTCATATTAATTGATTAATCGCACAAGCCGCTTTCAAAAGTTCGGCGCTAAAAATTAAATAAAAGCCTATAATAAGGCGAGATCAGCTATTTCCACAATTTCTTCAAAATCACCTATAGTGTTTGAATGATTTACATTTCTGTTGTTGTCATATATTGAGCTATTCACCCTTGATGACATACTGTTTGATATTGTAAACATCCTATTTCGAATCTTAGTTTTTGTTGAATGCATTACGGAAAAAACGCGCTCAACAAAACATATGAGTGCGGCAAGGATAATAATATGAATTTACTTATATTTCCAAATATTTTATTGCCTGTTGCGCTTTTCACTCCGTAAGCAATTATCCAAAATACTTTAGAGTCGGATGCAATGGTTCTGAGAAAAGTTATTCCATTATTCAAAGTCAAGTAGTTAATTGGCAGGTCCCTGAAACTCCCCCTCTTGTGATTGACTAGGTAATCGTTTCAAAAGTTCTTCGATAAGGGTGATTCAACATTTTTGACAGTCTTTTAATATGCTTCTTAAGTCAAGTTTATTACGCAGTTCATTAGCCTCTTCTGAAAAATTATCGTGGAAAACTAAGTTGTGTATATTTTTATAATTGGAAAAAATTTATTTGAAGGGAAAAAATCGGCAAAAATCGCCAATCGCGATTTCCTAAATTTTTAAATAGCCAAA